GGAGAATTGCCTGAACCCAGGAGGCGGAGGTTGCGGTGAGCCGAGATTGCACCATTGCACTCCAGCCTGGGCAACAAGAGCTAAACTCAGTCTCAAAAAAAAAAAAAAAAAGAATCCAGTAGTCTTCTGTTAAGCTAAACGTTAAGATATGTATAAACATAAAGCGTGGCTATTCATCTTACTAAACTTTTATTTTTTGTTTTGGGAAATAGCATTTTTATTTATGTAGATAGATAATTGGTTTCTTATTTTCAAATGAATTAATACTAAGTTTCTCAGTTTTCATTTCAAATGTGGTAATTATCAATGTAAGTAACCCATATAAACATTCTTCGGGGTCCTTAATGATTTTGAAGAATGTAAAGGAGTCCTGAGACCAAAAAGTTTGAGCGCTTCTGTCCTTAGGCATCCATTGTACGTAATAAATTAACTTTTTCTATGCAGCTGTAGAATGATACTAGTTTTGCCTCATTTTGCAAGACTTGAGAAAATTGATGCTCAAATCATTTTCTGTGTTCTGTGGTTCAGATGAAGAATTCTGGTTGAGCCTGGCTGTAAGGAATAGGAGGCAATTAGGGGGACAATGTTCCTTTAGATAGAGTGGTTATCTATTCCTGGGAGGCAGTATTGGAGCTGAGTCCTGAATACAGAGAGGGTGTCAGTTATGGGAAGATTTGGGGGAAACATTCCTGGCAGTAGGACTAGCTATTGCAAAGGCCCTGAGGTAAGAACAAGGTTGTCAGTGTTTATGGACCAGTAGGGCCTGAATCACTGGAGGAGAGTAAACAAGGGAAAGTAATACGATAATAAGGCCAGAGAGATAGCCAGGGGCCAGATCATGTTGGGCCTAATTGCACTGGGCAGGCAGCCATGAAGAACTTTAAGCAGGAGAGGGACGTGATCTGATTAGAAAAAGCTAATTCAGCATGCTGTGTGTGGGGAGAAAAGGTCTGTTGGGAGCAGAGGCAAAAGTCGAGGCAGGGAGACAAGTTAGAAGACATTGCTCCTCGTGGCTAGGTTAGAGTTCATAGCAGTGAAGACAGAATTGGTCATATTTGGGTTCTCTGTTGGAGCTTGAACTGGCAGGATGCTGATTAATTAGATATAGGGAATGAGAAATCCAAGATGATTCCTAGGGTTAATCAGATATAGGGAAAGAGAAATCCAAGATGATTCCTAGGGTTTTTTTGGCCTGAGCAGTCAGTAAAGATGGGAAAGACAAGTCACTAGAAGGAATCCAGGGTTCTGCTTTGAACACTTAGTCTTTCCTTTATTCCAAAGCAGGCATCCTTGGAGTTAATAATAACTGGGTTACAAGGAATTCTTTTAGAAAACATCTTGAACATTTTTTTCCTTTCTTAGTAAGTTTGCCCAGTTATAAAAGTTACAGCTTTTAGGCCTGATGTGATAGCTCATGCCTGTAATCCTATCACTTTGGGAGGCTGAACCAAGTGGATCACTTGAGCCCAAGAGTTTGAGACCAGCCTGGGCAACATGACGAAACCCCATCTCTACCAGGGTGTGGTGGCACATTCTTATAGTCCCAGCTAGTTAGGAGGCTGAGATGGGAGGATCACCTGAGCCTAGGAAGTTAAGGTGGCAGTGAGCCACTGCACTCCAGCCTGAGTGACAGGAGTGAGATCCTGTCTCAAAAAAAAAAAAGTTACAGCTTTTGCTATAGAAAACTTGGAAAGTACAGAAATATGTAAATAAAATTAAAGTAACTTGGTATCGCTGGGCGCGGTGGCTCAAGCCTGTAATCCCAGCACTTTGGGAGGCCGAGGCGGGTGGATCACGAGGTCAAGAGATCAAGACCATCCTGGTCAACATGGTGAAACCCCGTCTCTACTAAAAATACAAAACATTAGCTGGGCATGGTGGCATGTGCCTGTAATCCCAGCTACTCGGGAGGTTGAGGCATGAGAATTGCCTGAACCCAGGAGACGGAGGTTGCGGTGAGCCAAGATCGCACCATTGCACTCCAGCCTGGGTAACAAGAGCGAAACTCCATCTCAAAAAAATAATAATAATAAAAAATAAAATAAAATAACTTGATATCACAGAGATAACTACTACATTTTAATATATTTGTTTCAAAATATACACACACAAACATATTTCTTATTTATGTATATAATTGACCCTTGAACAACATAGAGTTTGGGAGCACTGATCCTCTGTGCAGTCAAAAATCCGCATATAAGCTTTGACTCCCCAAAAGCTGAACTACTAATAACCCAAAAGAAAGTGTAACAAAGAAAATCATAAGGAAAAGAAAATATATTTACCATTCATATAGTGGAAGTGGATCATCATAAAAGTCTTCATCCTCATTGGCTTTATATTGAGTAGACAGAGGGAGAGGTGGGTTTGGTCTTGCTATCTCAGGAGTGGCAGAGGCAGAAGAAAATCCGTGTACAAGTGACAAGTGGCCCTGTACAGCTGTGTGTACAGTTGACCCTTGAACGGAACTGCAAGGGTCCACTTGTACAGGGATATAAAAGATGTTCATATGTGTGTGTGTGTGTGTGTGTGTATGTATACCTATACACATATACGTATACATATATATAATTAGGATCATAATCTAGTTGTTTTCATTTTTGAGACAGAGTTTCACTCTTGTTGCTCGGTGGGAGTGCAGTGGCGCGATCTTGGCTCACTGCAACCTCCACCTCCCAGGCTCAAGCGATTCTCCTGCCTTAGCCTCCCAAGTGACTGAGGTTATAGGCATATGCCACCACACCCAGCTAATTTTTGTATTTTTAGTAGAGACAGGGTTTTGCCGTGTTGGCCAGGCTGGTCTTGAACTCCTGGCCTCAGGTGATCCACACGCTTCAGCTTCCCAAAGTGCTGGGATTACAGGCATGAGCACCCAGCCCATAATCTAGTTTTATATTCTAATTTTTGCTTTCAGTTTGTCATAGTACTAAAAATACTAGAATGAGCATCCTTATACGTAGAAACCTTTGTTTACATATGTAACTATTTCCCAAGGTTAAATCCTAGAAATTGTATTATAAGTCACAGGATGTGAATGTTCTTCAGGCTTGTGATGCTTATTAACAATTACCCCTCCCAGAAAACTTGTACCATTTTAATTCCCTTAACAGTAATTTAGAAAATGATACATTTCACCATATTTGGAAAAACAGTAAATATCAGCGTTTAAAATTTCTGCCAGTCTGATAAGTAAAGCATTTTATCTCTATTTTAAGTTGCATCTAACTTTATTTCATTTATTTACTATTTGATTTTTTTGTGAATTGCCTGTTCATTATCTTTGCCCAAATTCATTTACTTTTCTCATTTATTTGTAAGAGCTATTTATACATTAGGGCATTAGTTCTTCTCTTGTCATATATGTTAAAATTATAATGTTCCTAGTGTACCATTTGCCTTACAATTTTGCTTAGTGCAGTTTTTGGCAGAAATTTTTAAATAAAAGTTTGAATATAAATGTAGTCAAATGTTTCTCTTTGTTATTAATTCCATTCCACTTATCTTTAGAAAATTCTTCCCCATTTAAAGATCAAAATAACCAACTATATTTTACTATAATTTTATAATTTATTAAACATTAAAGAGTGTAGGCGTTAGGTTTCTTTCTTGTGATTATGAAAATTTTCTAATAACTTTAGGTATTTTCTTGTTTAGCACCTCTAGCTTTTCTATCAGAATTATTGGCATTTATTTTAAAGATTCCAATTGATTCCTCACTTCAGGTTTTACAGACATTTCACCAGAGGAATTGAGGCTTGAATACCAAAACTTCTTAACCAGCAATAACTTACAGAGTTATGTAAGTTTGTTTCCTCTTCACCTACCGCAATAACAGATGAGCTGTTCATTACTGCTTTCTTTATCGTGGCTTGTGTTTTGGCAAAACTGATGAGGTCTATGATCTTTTTTCAGGAGAAGGCTATTTTTCTTTTCTATATTGTTTTCATTGAAGTTGGTTGGTTATTAAAATGGTAATATATTTTTACTGTAATAATTAGGAATATTACTATTTTTATTATAAATTACCCAACAGTCAGCCCCAGAAATCGAACCCTTTTATCATCTGACAACATCTGTTGAACATATGTTAGGTGCAGATCCAATGATAAATGCTAGAAAAACAAAGTTGAGTAAGATACAGTCTGTAATACAGATTAACATCCTCATATATCAAATATCAAAAAAAAAAAAATTATTGACTAGAATAAGTTGGGTACCTGAAGGAAGCAGTTTAAATAGTATGTTTTTCTGTTTCTACAGTCATGATTATACATTTCAACTAGTCCATCCAAATACAACTCCCATCCAAATACAACTAACTGCATGTTGCCAGGTACTTATGATATTAACCAGGTGATACAAAGAGTTGAACAGGGAGAGGGAACTGGAGCTGGAATATCTTTGACAAATAGGCCAAGTCAATGCATATTTTGCAAGTTATGAGCCATAAAACTGTTACATAAACCTTTTGTCATTTTGGCAAATAAATACATGAAGTTTTTATTGAAGAAACTAACTTAAACATACAATATTGAACTGTTATTTTTTTGTCTTCCCTTTTCAGGTAAATTCTGTTCAACGTTTAATAAATCAATGGAGGAACAGGGTAAATGAACTGAAAAGTCTAAATATATCAACTAAAGTAGCTTTGGTGAGTATGGGAGAGTTTTTTGGAGGGAAGTGTCTTACCCATTGCTTTTTTGCAGAGTATATTTTACCTTAGATTTGGAAAGTAAAACAAAAATTTTTCATCAAGAATTATGAAACACACATTCTCATAATAGCATCACAAGAGTCAGGGTCTTGAAATAGTTTTCTGTGTGTTCCTTGGTCAGAAAGCAGAAATAATTATGCTTTTTAAAAGCTTTTTAGCGTCAAGTTTTTAACTTTGGTAGTGCTGGTTTTGAAAATGGCAAACTATTACATAAATTTAAGTATATAATGTTATCTGTATGTAAAAAGATATTACTTCGAACGATTTTATGAATGCACATTCAAAATATAATGTACAATTTTGTGACCAAAGAATACAGTATATTCCTTGTCTTAAACAGAAATGCCAGCCAGGCGCGGTGTCTATGCCTGTAATCCCAGTACTTTGGGATGCCAAGGTAGGCAGATCACCTGAGGTCAGGAGTTCGAGACCAACCTGACCAACATGGAGAAACCCCATCTCTACTAAAAATACAAAATTAGCTGGGTGTGGTGGCGCATGCCTGTAATCCTAGCTACTTGGGAGGCTGAGGCAGGAGAATCGCTTAAACCCAGGAGGCTGAGGTTGCAGTGAGCCGAGGTGGTGCCATTGCACTCCAGCCTGGGCAACAAGAGTGAAACTCTGTCTCAAAAACAACAACAACCAAAAATGCTTTTGGAAGATGTATACCACCTGTCTCCAAAGATCTATGGTCCTAACTGTAGCAAGTTCATTTATCTTTATAAATAAAGTTTTGATGTTTCTACACCTATTAAAAAGTTCTTAAGAACTTATTTTAAAATAAGATGTTCACATTTATAGTTTTAATATTTCCAGTTTCTCAGGTGGTTTGTTTCTACTTAGTATAAAGGATATGAGAGTACTATCTGCCTAAAGTTAGTGGACATCTGACAGTCCCAACACCTTACCTCTTTCTTAAATATGTGCTTCCTGAATAACTAGACTCGTGCAAGCTAATTTTTCACCTTTCAGTTGTTGTAATGCTATTTGAATTTAGTGGGACTTCTTGGAAGTAATCTGTCCTTGTGTAAGAGGTGGCCCACCATCACCAGAGATGAGAGCTTAACGAGAAAGGATAACCGAGTCCAAAGAACTGTGGAACTTCCCTTAGGGCTGGAAGGCCCCCAGTCTTTGCTAACTGCCCAGGGCCCCTCCATAAGTGAGGCTCTGGGACAACCCACCCATAGCTGACTTAACATGTATCAGTACTTCATGCCTTCTTTATACTGAATGGTAATCCATTGTATGGATATATTATAATTTGTTTATCATCTGCCATTAAATGAATATTACACTGAGGGAGAGAAGCCAGACCAAAAAAATAATAATAATAATGCAGACCATGTGATTTCATTTGTGTGAAACTCTGGAAAAGACAAGTCTCATTTGTAGTGATAGAAAGCAGATAGAGTGGTGCCAGGGACCAGGACTGGAAGGTGATACAAAAGAACTTTTAGGGAACAGGAATGTTTTCAATCTCAATTGCGGTGATTGTGAGTTTGTCAGAACTCACTGAAATATATAAATAAAATGGATGCATTTTATTGTATTAGGCTTTACCTCAAAAAAGTTGATTTTTTTTTAGGGATTCCAAATGAAATAAATCACTTATATTTGCTTGGGATGATTAAGAAACACTCTTAGAAGGAAGGAGCAAGTACAAAGTTCCTTGAAAACAGAATTAAGATTTCAGTAAGCAGAGATGTAAGACACTTCTAGAGCATGGAATGTCAAGAACATAAAGTACTTTCAGGAATGGGAAATGTTTAATGGATTTTAGTTGTAAGCTTTTAATGGTATAATTGTGGATTTACTTCATTTCAAGTATTAGAGTAGACTGGGTATTCTATAAAGGTCCCTTATACCTAATAATTAGATTTCTCGATAAATGCAGATTAACCTTACAGACACTGAAAAAAAGTTATTAAAAAATATTTTTCTGATTATAATATCTGCTCATTGTAGAAATTTAGAAAGTATAAAAAAGCATAAATAAAATTTAAATTACTCATAATTCATCAGCCAGAGACAGTCACTGTTAACTTACCAATGTATTTTTATGCGTATTCATATTATTATTAGTTGTGATTATACCGTTTATACAGTATTATATCATATCCTTTCAACATCGTATTATGGGCATTTTCCATGTTAAACATTTAACTTTGCATTTTTTAATGCACTTTTTTTCTTTTCTTTTTTCTGAGTCAGAGTCTCACTTTGTCACCCAGCAGTGAGCTCCTACCTGAAGCTCCCAAGTAGCTGGGACCACTGGCTAATTTTTTGCAGAGATGGGGGGATCACTGTGTTGCTGAGGCTGGTACAAAACTCATAGGCTCAAGCACTGCTCCTGCCTCAGCCTTCCAAAGTGCTAGGATTACAGGTGTGTGCCACCACACCCGGCCTTTAATGCACACTTTTAAAAATTGAATTTGGCCATAAAGTGTATGGAAAAGGTACTGGAGCGTTATTCATCAAGAACTTTATTATTTGCACACTTTTTTTTTCCAGCTCTCTGATGTAAAGGATGGAGTAAATCAAGCAGCACCTGCGTTTGGATTTGGCAGTAGTCAAGCAGCAACGTTTGTGTCACCAGGTAAGTGATAAAGTAATGCAGGACGTCACTGATTTAGAAAAATTAGATTTTATAGGTTTCAAATTACAAGCCTGAATCACCATTTTAAATTACCTTTGTAAATTCTAGAACCTTCCATTATAGAGCCTCAAAAAGACATTTAGGCTTTAGAAGTACATTTTATGAATGGTTTTTCGGGAGTTTCATAGAAGTACATAGCTATGAAAGCAGCACCTTTGAGAACTTTCTTGTCACTGTGTATAAGAGCATAGCATTGTCCTCAAGTGGCAGCTCTGGTGAGGTAAGTAGAAAGCAAAGTGAAAGTCCATTCCCTAGTCCCTGAAGTTTGTCCTTGGGTGACGGTCGATCAAGGTGAAAATAGGATTGTTAGCAGGAAAGACAGGAAGCAGAGTTTACGGAGTTGTTCTAGCCTCTCATTTTTACTTTTCTCCCTCTTCCTTCCAGTAAGCTTCTCAGCACTGAAACATGACAGAAATAAGAAAAAAAGATCGGGGGAGGAAATAATTGTGACGTTTTTCTGACTGTAAGAGATTATTTTTTTCTTTTTCTGTTTTTTGTAGGCTTTCCAGTCAATAACAGCAGCAATGATAATGCTCAGAACTTTAGTTTTAAAACAAACTCTGGATTTGCCACTGCCTCATCTGGAAGCCCTGCTGTTTTGGGGAGTTCCCCAGCATTTGGAGCTGCAGCCTCTGTCAGTTCAGCTATCTCTACTTCTGCTCCAGCTTTTGGATTTGGGAAACCTGAAATCACATCTGCTGCATCATTTTCATTCAAAAGCCCTGCAGATTCCAGCTTTGGATCACCTGGGTTTTCAGGACTTACAACTTCCTTGGCAACAGGTCCCATCAGCGCTCCAGTGGCCCCGGCCTTTGGAGGTGGCAGTTCTGTGGTTGGTTCTGGTAGTCCAGGCTCACACTCTCACACTGCTTTTTCCAAGCCATCCAATGACACTTTTGGAAATAGCAGCATATCTACTTCTTTCTCAGCCCCAAGCAGCATCATTGCCACAGATAATGTGTTATTCACACCCAGAGATAAACTGACAGTACAAGAACTGGAACAATTTCAATCCAAGAAATTTACTCTGGGAAAAATTCCATTAAAGCCTCCACCTCTAGAGCTTCTAAATATTTAAAAGGGCAATTTTAAATACAAAAAAGAATGGTGTTTGAAATTGTTTTTTAGTGATTCATATAAAGGTGCATATATGCATACATACATATATTCATAAGGAATATAAATTTCCAATAATTACTAGTGATTTTTAATTTTATTTTTTTCTTAAGTCTAAATATTTAAGTAAAAAGTTACAAAAACTCAGCAAGGGAATTGTTTTCTACTGTAATTATGAATGGAACTGAAAAACTGCACGAATAAAGTACCTTTCTCATGCTCTACCACTTTACTATCTCACGATTTAAAGTTTAAAAAAAATTTTTTTGGAAGGAGATAATTTCTGGAACTATTAGGGGGAACATGCTCAAATATTTAGCCTACTTTTAGAATATACAATTAGTAGCATGACTTCATGTTAAAGATTCTGTCAGAGATAAATCACAGTTTGTAAAGAGTGACAAGCTTTTATGTTTAGAACCTTGGGAGCATTTCCCCCCGTAATTTTGGTTCCTTCTCAACTTTGGCAGTCTCATAGACTACTGTTTGAGTTTTCTTCAACAATCTTATTTTGGCCTCACTTTTATATAATTCTGTTTATTCATCACATTAGTCTGTCAAATGGTTGAGTTGTAAGAGAAACAAATTGTGATGTCATGTGAATTAATAATGTGTGTAGTGGGGTCAGGATTCACCAGTTTCTGTTTCTAGATCTTCTCAGGCATGGCCAGGTACGGTAACTCACACCTGTAATCCCAGCACTTTAGAAGGCCAAGGCAGGTGGATCACCTTGAGGCCATGAGTTTGAAACCAGCCTGGTCAATATGGTGAAACCCCATCTCTACTAAAAATATAAAAAATAAACTGGGCATGGTTTTGGATCTCCCTGTGTCCTCAGATTGAGAGAGTAAGATTTATATCTTATGTATGAATGATCCAGGAAGCTAAAGGCCTGTCACAAGTTGAGGCAGGTATGTCAGAGTTCTGTGCTTTCTCAGCCCTCAAAAATTACATAGGTAGCACTACCAAAGCATTTACTAATGTGGGTCTGGCATTTAGCTGATTTTTCTAAGTGAAAATAAAGCCTTACATAATAAAAGATGTGCACTCCAAATGACTTTTTTTTTTTTTTTTTAATTAGACGGAGTTTCACCCTTGTTATCCAGGCTGGAGTGCAATGGCGCGATCTTGGCTCACCGCAACCTCCGCCTCCTGGGTTCAGGCCATTCTCCTGCCTCAACCTCCTGAGTAGCTGGGATTACAGGCACGTGCCACCATGCCCAGCTAATGTTTTGTATTTTTAGTAGAGACGGGGTTTCACCATGTTGACCAGGATGGTCTCGATCTCTCGACCTCGTGATCCACCCGCCTCGGCCTCCCAAAGTGCTGGGATTACAGGCTTGAGCCACTGCGCCCGGCTCCAGATGATTTTAACATGTGCAAAGGATTCAGTCCTCAAAAGACCCACATTCTCCATTACACTTTCTGAACAGCTGCATGACTCATCTGACAGTTCTGGAACCCCAGTGTTTGAGACAGAATCTATACCGGGGGGATATATGTTTAAAATCATGCTGGTTGCAGAGATGGTAAATAGAGCATAAGTTCCTTTAGAAGAAGCAAGATTAAAACAAAAAAAACATAAATTCCTTCTTTGGTCTCAAGCTCTAAAGACTTTACAGTATTTGAACTAACAACTTGAATCCTAGAATTTTCCAGCCCCGATGGGATGAGCCCTACCCTACCTTTAGACTGGTTACAAGCTCCCTGAGGTCCTGGTTGAACTTCCCAGTGCCCTAGAAGCCCTCAGAGAATACAAGTTAAAAGCCCACGGTTTCCAAGAATCACCTGGGGTGTCTGTTTAATATAGCCAGATAATATATCCAAAGTATAGGGGCTGCCCATTGGGATGGGCTTGGGAATATGTCAACAGGTATTCCTTGTGATTCTTCAGGCAAGTTTGGGAAACGGGCCTATCCAAATGCATTTAAGCTACTTAGTAACACCTGACTGGGGAGTTTTACTTGTTGAAGTCTGTTTTCTATGCTTCCATATACACAAAAATCTGGGAATTTAACAGGATCCAAAGTTTTTTTAAAAGCACAAATAGGCCAGGCGTGGTGGCTCATGCCTGTAATCCCAACACTTAGGGAAGCTGAGGTGGGTGGATCACTTGAGGTCAGGAGTTCGAGACCAGCCTGGCCAACATGGCAAAACCCCATCTCTACTAAAAATACAAAAAATTAGCTGGGCATGGTGGCGCGTGCATGTAATCCCAGCTACTCAGGAGGCTGAGGCAGGAGAATTGCCTGAACCCAGGAGGCAGAGGTTGTGGTGAGCCGAGATCGCGCCATTGCACTCCAGCCTGGGTAACAAGAGCGAAACTCCGTCTCAAAAAAAAAAAAAAGCACAAATAAGTGCTATGCATAGGCTACTAAAAAAATGTGAGAAACTAAAGCAAAGAAGCCCACAAAGTAGAATCCAGCAGCATGCAAATGGTGCCAAAAGTCAAGAAGACCAGTAACTCCCAGACCTAGGCTAAGGGGCATTGGGCCTTCAGAAAATCAGAAATGGTAAATAGTGAGGTGGCAGCGGTTGGGCATAAAGGCAGGTTGAGTGTTCAGACCCTGAGAGGGACAGAGTAGAAGGGAAAAGGCACCTACAGCAGGAGGATGTGCCGCCATCTTCTGGGTGGTTTCTCCCGGTCTCATATCCAGTGAAACTAGGAGAGCTGGACTAAGAGGCATACTCTAAAATAGACAAAAACAGCCTCCCTCACAGCTGCTACAATAGCTGTCCCTTTTGCCTAGGGCCTAGAGCAAGTGACAGAATTGCAGATAAGTTATAGCAAATAAACTGATTTAACTTACTTGATTATCTGATCACAGATTAGAAGAGAAGGGTAACAGCTGAAAGATGATCAGAAGGGGAAAGAAAGTGAGCTGATACTAAAACTAAAAGTTATAAAATTATTTAGCTACATAGTAAAATAATTCAACTTGAAGCATCAAACAATGATTTAATTGTGGTAGATATATACATTGGAATACTAAACAGCCTTTCTAAATGGCTTAATAGAGAAAAACTTGGAAATGTTTTCATTCTGCAATCAGTGGACAAGAGTGCTATAAAAATAACATGTACAGTGTGATCCGATTTGAAGGGAAAGAATACATTCATGGGTGGGGAGCCCGAAAATTAACAAAATTAGCTCAAATTTTAGTGAGTTTTTGCTATGTGCCCGACAATATTCTAAGAACTCTGTCTCTATTATATTAGCAAATTGCCTCATCACAACCATATAATCTAGTGCTATTATAACAATCCTCATATTCTAAATGAGAAAACCAACCAAGATTTGGAAATGTTAAATGACCTATCCAAAGTCACCCAACTTGTTGAGCTGTAATTCAAACTCTGAACTTAAGGGGGCCGTGTTTTAAACCACCCCGCTATACTAATACTAGATTGTGAGGACACTTTGTCTTTTTTTTGGCATTTTCTACAATGGCATTACCTCTAAGATACATGTTTGCCCCATTTTTCCTGCTGTGATTATAATTTGCAGGTCCCACCCCAAACTTACTGAATCAGTCTGCATATTAACAGGACCCACCAAATGACGTGTATGCACATGAACATGTGAGAAACTATTGCATGTGTAAAGGAGATGTACAAAAATGTACACAGTATTGTTTGTATAGCAAAACACAGAAACCACCAGAAGTCCATCCATGGGATAATGGATAAACTTTGGCATAATGGAATATAATTGTACAATGACTCAAGTTACTTGTATAAACAATCACCAAAAAGGGGAAGGTACCCAATAGTATGTATGATATACCATTTAAAGTACAAAAGAGCAAAATAATTTTGTATTATTTATGGATACACAAACACAGGAATAATAGCATGTGGATAGTAAGCACTGATATGATTTGGCTGTGTCCCCACCCAAAATCTCATCTTGAATTATAATAATCCCCATGTGTCAAGGGTGGGGCCAGGAGAAGATAACTGAATCATGGGGGTGGTTTCTCCCATACTGTTACCATGATGGTGAGTTCTCATGAGATCTGATGGTTTTATAAGGGGCTTCCCCCTTTGCTGGGCTCTCATGCTGGGCTCATTCTGTCTGCTGCCGCCATGTGAAGAAGGATGTGTTTGTGTCTCCTTCTGCCATAATTGTCAGTTTTCTGAGGCCTTCACAGCTGTGCAAAACTGTGAGTCAATTAAACCTCTTTTCTTATAAATTACCCAGTCTTGGATATGTCTTTATTAGCAGTGTGAGAATGGACTTATATTAATAAGCACCAAATTCAGAATAATGTTTACCTAGCGAAGAAAAAAAGGGAATGGGATCTGAAAGGCACAGACAGGGAGCTTTATTATGTGACAAAAAAAAAAAGCTTAATATGATAAGCATTAAATTTGACAGTGGGAGCTGGGCATGATGACACAAACCTGTAGTCCCATCTACTTGGGAGGCTGAGGTGGGAGGATCACTTTGGCCCAGGAGGTCAAGGCTGCAGTGAGCCATGATCACACCACTGCACTCGAGTCTGCATGACAGAGTGAGATGCTGTCTCAAAAAAAAAAAAATTGTAATTGACACTGGATGATGAGTAGTACATAGTAATACTCTGTTATTTTCCATACTTTCCCACATGCTTGAAATAAGTTTGCAAACTTTTAAATATTTGATTTAGGGGGAAAATGCCTTTTTCCCACCCTAAATTGTGTTTGATCATGTCACTTTCAGATTTCTGCAGCGATCACTGTGACTACGCTGGCTTGCCAAACTGTGTCCAAGCTTGTTGGATTATTTGTGCCATGCCGATGGGGCTTGTCCTTCAAACACTGAAGCACAGGAGTAAAACTAAAGAACAACTGACTGTAGAGGTGGAAAATGTAATTTTTGCTATCAGACTAACAAAATATAAAAAGTACACATTTGTGGAGCAAAATAAAAATATGTGATTCACTACTTGTGTCTGTGTTTCGCTAATTACACTGGACGAGGAAGATAATCTAGAATCAATATATTAAGTAGTTACCCGAGGCTCTTTCCTCAACCACACATCATCAACCACCGGGAAATCCGGTCTTTTTTCCTTGGTTACTTACAATGCAAGCAGCATTTTAGCCCTGGCAGCATAGAAGCAGAGGAATAGGAATTATCTGCCACTACTGTGGTATCTTTTAACAAAGTGGTTGTCAAGCTTTTTAAAAAAATTTATAAACCTATTTGAATCATTCTGTGACTCCTGAGTTCGGACCCCGCAGAGAGCGCAGAGCGCAGCCCGCTCCCTCAGGGCCCTCCAGGTCAGCGGCTGAGCTGTGAGGGGTTGACCGGGGGAGAGGGGTGGTCCCCGGCAGGCGGGTGAGCTGTGAAGGGTGTGAGCTGGGAGCCCCGGCCCGGCCGTGCCCTTTGCCCCGCTGACACCGGGAGCACCCTGTGGTTGCCCACTGGCCGGGCCCAGGCCTTGAAGCCGCAGCGAACCTCTTCCCCACCCCCGCCTCAGTGAGTGATGGCCGCGGCTTTTCCCAGCCCGGACCCCGCTGCCGCCGGGTCTCCTGGCCCAAGCCTGCCGGACCTCGACGAAACCCCGCCGAGCCGCCAGAACGCAGCGCCTCTAGGTGGCGCCAGGAGAGGCGGGCCGGGAAACATGGCGGCCGCCAGAACGCCGCGCGGCGGAGACCGCTGGGGTGTGCAGGGCCCGGGAAGGCGGTCTCGGGACGCAGGCAGGATCTGCCGCCTCTTTAGGCCACGGAGCCGCGCAGGTCCGGGCCCCGGGTGACCGCTCTGTTCCCAGTGGGCGAGAATCTGCCGAGTCCTGAGGACAATGGACAAAGGCCTTAACGGGCCTGGGAGGTGAGCCAAGTCCCAAACCACGACGGGTGGAACGGTTAGTGGCCAAGCCGGCGGTTGGTCTCATTCGACCAGACCTTGCTGTCGGAGGAGAAAAATGGTAGAATGACAGGCCACGTCTGGCCCTTTGGAAATGCCCACTACCCTTTGGGAAGATTTACTGGCCGTTTACGGAAGGCCCGTGCATATAATATGAAAAAGCTGCTCTCAACTCCACCCCAACC